TGTGTGCCTTGATTTGCTTGCTAGCATCTTATGTCCTTTCACAGAAAGGATTGTCCACCAGTCTATCCACAACCTTAGTCCCTTCTAAAAGAATATCTAGATACTTAAAATCATTTCAAAGTGGGATTTTGAAGTGAAATTCCTGGACTTTCTACCTTGCCTTGTCTTAAATGTTAGGTGTCCGCTTGGCCTTCCACTAGGTGTGATATACCAGACTAGAATCCTGTGAAGTGGCTTGAATTACCCTTGTGCCTTCCTTGGTGTCTCAGACTTGCTTGTTCTGATCCCTGAGGTGTACCAGTATCTTCCAATTGTTTGTGTCACATTATGTGGTGCTCACTTGTCCCAGCACAGATTATTAAACTGTTTACTTCCATCCTAATTAATGTCAGGTTTGCAATTATGTTATTGAAGGAGAAGAACCTTTCACAGAATTGCAATCAGGGTTTCTAGAGTAAAATTTGTCATAGGCAGTAAAAGAACAAATGAATGTTTCTCTGTATTTTTTTTTTTTATTACTGAACCATAAATGAAATGGTTCTGTAAATCAAAATGAGTGGGCTTTCCTTTATCTCATATGAAAGTCCTAACTGTTGTGATCCGGTTTGTTATCAAGGGCATGTGTGCATGCATGCATAGTGGATACATGCATGTGTGAAAAGCCTGCACCAATCATTGCATCGGAAATAGAACAATCCAACTACAATGTAGAGATCTATAAATAAGATGGCCTGCTTTTTGAAAAAGAAATTTGTTATTGGACATTAAAGATCACATTTTAAGTTTCGTAAGCATTTGCCAGATGTACTTCTCTTATACTGTAGCTTAAAGTTCAAAATATTTTTGTGAAAGCATTCTACTGTGTGAAACAGCAGTCAGCTTCTCTCATCATGTAGGTGCTGGTGGGTGGATTTGTGGCTAATCTGTGCCATATGGCTACTCTCCTCAGTGGGAAGTGATGGTGGTCCCAGGAGCTTTACTCCATCCCTGGGCAGCTGCCTTGGACTCAGTTGCTTTGATCTTCTTGCACAGCTGGAAGAAGCAGGGTCTGCTTTTGAGTGACCTAATAAGACAGCATAGAGGACCACTGTCGTGGACTGCACCTTCCTGTTCTATAAGCATGCCTCAGACAGCGTACTGTTTCATCGAAAATACAAGTCTGGGTTATTTGTTTTAAGATTCGGACATTGTAAATATTTTACTAAGAAATTGTCTGTGTTCTATTTCATATAACATTCTTCCTCTTTAGGAACAAATTTCAGATGAGAAGTAAAAATAGAGGAGCATATAGAATTCACATAACTTGCCCATTGCTAAGTACATATTCGATATCTTCTTAATAATGTCCCAGAACAGAGCAGAAGTATGTTCTGAGTGGGTGGAAATCTAAAGTTACATCGTCTTACTTTACCTCCACTATCTACTAGACTGCCATCAGCCTGTCTCCTAACCCTGTTGCTTTTTGTCAGACAAGTGCAGTCGCTTGTTCAGCTTTAGGAACAGAAAAACATGAGGGGAGACAGTTGTCCCTATATATCCTGACAATCTTGAGTGACTGGTGGGGCAGTCAGAGAGATCAGATCCAGACCACAGGTTTCTTCGGAACTGTATCACCATTGGTAACAATGTAGTCTAGCTTAGCGTTCTCAGGAGTAAACTAAACCAGGCGCTCATTTCTGTGTCTGAATAGTCCACTCTCCTCTCATGGCACTGACCCTGGCAGCATTTTGGAAGTCTATAACCAGAACAGATAATAGTAGAGCTATGCCTAGGTTCTGATGTAAGGTGAGCAGTAGAATTCATAGTATTTGTCAGTATGTTCCCATTTCTTCATTTCCTTTCAGGATACCATTATTAAACTGGAAAGTATGTCTTGACAGGCAGTAGGTGGTATAATAAAGCATGTTTCTCACCCATCAATTGGCAAAAAAAGATCATGCAGTTCCCAAGTAATCTAACCAATGACTGTCATAACAAGACATAGAATCGACATTAGAAAACTTCTTGGTTGTTCCTTCATAGGTGGAACAAGGTGGAGTGAGCACTGTGGGCACATAGACTTCATTTTCCGGAATTCTTAACAGTCTTGTAAAAATACTTTTTAAATTGAAAAAAAAAAAAAAAAAAACAACAACTACACAATCAGGCTAAAAGTAAGTGGGTAAAATAAAAACGGTAACTACAAGATAAATAAATCTTTAAAAAATAAATATATATTTATTTTATATGTATGAGTACTTTATCTGCATGTATACCTTTATTCCAGAAGAGGGTATCAGATCCTACTGTAGATGATTGTGAGCCACCATGCAGTTGCTGGGAATCGAACTCGGGACCTCTGAAAGAGCAGCCAGTGCTCTTAACCGCTGAGCCATCTCTCCAGCCCTACAAGATACATTTAAAGAAACTCGGTTTTACATATGAGGTGGACAGTGTATGGCTTTAAAGTCAACCTATTTTTCTATGTGTTTTATTTTTTCTTTTATAAATAGATATATTTAATCTGGGTATAAATAAATCATAACCAATTACATATAATTTTGTTTTTTGTTTTTCAAGATAGGGTTTCTCTATGTAATAGCTCTGGCTGCCCTGGAACTCACTCTGTAGACCAGGCAGGCCACAAACTCTGCCTGCCCTTGCCTCCCCAGTGCTGGGATTAAAGGTGCACACCATCACTGCCCAGCACATATAACTATATTATATGTATAACTTACTATCTATAATGCCTGCCCCATCAGCCAAGTAACTTACAGATTCAAACAGAGCCCTCAGTCCACCGGTTGTGTTCTTGCCTCAGGGCCTAAGTAACTACTTTTTCTTTACCTGACACCTAGTGCACTCCCGACCTCCTGCAGGTCTTAGGATACCTTCTCAGGGAGGGAGGGAGGGAAAGAGGAAGGGAGGAAGGCAGGCAGGCTTGCCATCTAGAAGTCATTAGAGTAGTCATAAAAGCATTCCATTCAGATAGTATCTATGTCAGTACCTTGATTACTATGCACTTGTTTAATAATTTTTCTTCCCCATTAGCTTTAAGAAGTTTGGGGAGTTTTGTTCTATTCCTTTGTTTACCTCCAGTCTCTAAAAATAGTCCTTCACATATAATAAGCTATCATTAATTTACACAAATAGCAAGTGTTCAGTAAATATCTATTGCATCTGCTTCATTCGATTGTGTTTCTACACTTATCAGCATTTGCTGATGAATGTGGAAAGTGCCTTAGAAGTTTGTAGTATTTAAATGATCATACTCGGACTAGTCCATTAACTCACCTACCAATACTTAATAACTAGGTTGTTGCTAATTATATCCAGTTCATTACACAGATATAATGGATATAATATATCTGTAATGGAAATTTATTTATATGAATACTTTGACTAGATCCATTCCTCATGACAACCTTATAAAGTAGGTACTATTCTGATGTCTTTTAATAATGTTCTGAAGTGGAAATAACCATTTAATGTACTTGTATTTTATGAGATCCGCTTCTCCTAAACTGTAGTGTTATTAATGAGTAGGAAAGTACTCAAAACATTTACTCTGAGAGTAATGTTGAGCACATGAATTAAATAGGTATTTTTATATGTTTTTTCTTAACCACTTTATTGTGATGAGCTCACATACATCACAATTAAGACAGCCATTCAAACATTTGCTACATCTCACAGAACTGATGCACAGTGAGAAAGGTCATTCTGAAGGCGTGGAGCTTCCCTTGTAAAGCCCTTTCTACACTGTGTGCACTTATCCCTCACACAAAAAAGAAAGAACTGTGACAGTGTTGAAGCTAGTCTAATGGTGACGTTGCCTTTCAGATCTCCCATTTCCTTATAGGTAATGAGCTTTGTTTGAGCGTTGAGTTCTAACAGTGGGATGGTGGAGAATCAGATTCCGTGCTACTATTTTCCTTTCTTGAACAGTTACAGTGGAATACTTTGAACTTCACAGGTCATGATCTATGGCATAACTGATAACTGGATTCCTGCTAAGGACCCACTGGCCTGAGCATTACTCAGTGTACTTTACTCAAGTACTGTCCCCATAAAGAGACACTGGAATTTATACAACCAAGAAGTCACTTGTTTTAACTAGATAATATGCAGTTTGGACATTTTATACATGATGATCATGGAACAGGCTTCAAGAGGAGTTCTTTGAAGACGAGTCCTGAGAGAAAAGAATGCTAGGAAAGTGGATTTTGTAGAGAAAAAGAAAAGCTCTAAGAGTTGCTTAGCCTCAGGGAACATAGGGTAACAGTTTGTTCAAGGAGGAGTGATGATTGGATTTTTCCCTTCTTTGCGGAGAACTAAGTGGGACTCAAAACAGAGATGCTCTTACAAATAAGTCCAGGTTCCAAAGGTATAAAACACACACACAAAGGCATTTGGACAGAAGATACAAAGTCAGAAAAGAACATTTTTGACCAAAGGCTCTCAATTAGGTTTGCCTTTAACTCTCAAATTTAGGAGATTTTAAGTACATTTCTCCAGGTCTTAACAGATGTTCAGATCAGCTGGCTTTTAGTCTGGTCTCAAAATTTGTGTTGTTAGTCTATGATTCGAACTAATGACAATCATTAAACAAATAGTAAGGGGACAAAACTTGTTCATCTCTCAAGGGGGAATGTGTTCCAGACTGTCATAGAGACACTAGATCTTAGAGCACTGAGGTGAATTACACTATTGAGTGGTTTTTGTAGTAGTTAAAGATGTCATATTTTAAGCCATAGTAACTAAGCATGAAGTTCTAAGGAAGGAGAAATTAAATCATGGGTTATATACCTTTACTTTAAAATACGACAACCATCTTCAGGCAACGTTCAGGAAACAAATTACTAAATATTTATATTTCAGATGTGTTGACATTTATTCCTACTGGTAAGTGAACATGAAATTATAAAAGTTAGCCTCTGCTTGCTGTGTTTCTTAAGCATCCTCATTAATTCTGTTCCTGTGGGTTTGTTTTGGTTTTATTTCTTTTGTTTTCCATCTAGGATGGAGCTGTGATGTGGAAGAGAAGAAGGTTCCAAAACCCAAGTCCAAGTCGTACGCTGCAAACTTTTCTTGGAACAAAAGAACAAGGGTGTCTACAAAATAGGTTGGCACTGCTGCATTTCCCCTTGACTGTGAATAAAGTCAGCTGGGCACTATTTATAGTCCGTGGATAATGCACCTCTTAATCTCCTAATAAATGTGACCTTTGAACCACAGGTACACGTGGCAGTTTCTGTTTTTATTGTTTGTGATGTCTCACACTGAACACATTACAATTTCCTGCAGAGAGAGATTGGAGGTGTTCATCCTCTAGGAAATCATGGCATTTAGAATCTACTAAAGCAGATGCCTGAAAACAGCTACCGCCTAGGTGTTTTCTGGTTGCTTTTTAGAGCCACTCCCAAATCAGTTCTGTATAAACTCCAAGCCGTCATTACTATCCTGTCTGAGAAACTCTTTTGCCACAGGTAGAGGAGTGCATGGTTATTGTACAACCTGATAACCCTCAACCTAACTCCCTTCCAGCAAACATTCTCCTTTTCAATTGCAGCTTTCTATTTTCTCAGTGCTTATGGAAGTAAATGGATTTGTCCATACCACGTTCTGCCTTATGACATGTGCTGATTGTGAGTGCTTCTGGTGGAGATTTTTTTGTTCTTCGAAACCAAATATTCAAAACAAAATAAAACCGAGCGTTTTGGGACCTTTGGTGTTTTTAAACTGTTGTGCTTTTAAAATATAAGTAAATACATTTTGTTAGTTGCAACTGTGTGGCCAACATGATTACCCATGAAGCCATGCTGTCATCATGCTCTCAGAAAAATGCCGTGGCTGTGAACCCTCATAACCACCGTATCAGGGGGGTACTTATGTTTCCCATTTTGCAAAGAAGAGATACAAATCAAGACCTAAAAAGGATTAAGTAGTGGGCTCAGGGTAACAGCGCTCGCAGATACTGACGGTGACACTGGAACCGCCTGCTTCAAACCCATGTACCATGTAGCTTCTGGTAGCTGCAGAGAAATGTGCTTTAGTAGTAGCATGTTAGCTCCTCACTGTGTGTAAATGTACATTTTCTCCATTTTTTCAGAGAAACACCTGTAACATGTTGCTCTAGCTCAACAAAGTGAATCAGAGAATACAGTTTTGTTTGGGGGAGCATATTGACAATCCTTTAAAAACATGTGAATACATACTGCATTTCATTCTAAAAATCTGCCTCTAATTAAACAGCCAAGGGATGGACACAGAGATAAACAGAGATTTTCTCTGCAAAATTGTTCTAAAAGCTAGGAAGTTGAAACAGTGTAGATGTCTAGTCGAAGAAGTTGAGGTGAATGGAGAATTATGGAACTATTAAAATAGAAGATGTACCTGGGCTAGGGAGAGATGGTTCAGCAAGTAAAAGCATCTGCTGCCAAGCCTGATGACCTGAATTGAGTTTGATGCTGGGGTCCCAGGAGGGAGGGAGGACCAACTTCTGCAAGTTCTTCTTTGACCTTCACTAGCACGTAAGCATGCACACTAAGGAAAATGTTACAATAAAACAAGGTACATCTATGTGAATTTTAGAAGGGATGCCCAAGGTATATTTGTTGAAAAACCAAAAACCACCCACAATTCCAGAACCAGGTACTCCCCAGCCCACCTTTAGTGATCCAGCACCAGTGGCTACATGGTCACTAGCCACCAAATGCGACATATTTTCACTGTCGCCATGAATCGCGTATTCTCCCTATTGCATGCGTTACACCCTTTGTGAAGCCCAAGCCTTCACCACAGCTTGTTCTCTTTCTCCCATCCTCATTCAGGGGCAGCCCCTGCCCCCCATAAATCTCTCATGTGAGTTCTGCTGCATGGCATGACTTTGTGGCATTCCTTGGCCATCTGATCACCACAGACACACACACACACACACACACACACACACACACACACACACAAAAAAAAAAGAACACCTAACATTGGTGCCAAGACTTGGTAGGATATCCTAGGGCCTAGGGCTTATGCCCCCCTTTGGGGGTCTAAGCTACACTGGGACTCTATCGCTTATCTCCAGTCAACCTGCACAGACCCACCTCTGGCTCACCTGTCACTGAGCACCCATCCAACAGCAGCAGTTGGTAAGTTTTTCCTTTGATTAGTGCAAATGCTTCCCTGGATCCAAGGGAGTAATCATTGAAGACCCCCACCCCTCTGGTATTCTTGGAGGTGGAGGTACCCTCAGCCACGATCTTTAAAGCTACAGTTGGCCCTCTTCACCTACCCCACCTCTGACCATTTCAATTTTTGAGCATGTTTTTGCCTTTTGGCTTTCCTTGAAAGCCCTGGTACTAGACACCCAATCTCCTCAGGCTTTTCGCTCTGACCTCCAGAATGTAGTGATGACTCACTGAACGGCACTGTCTTCCTTGTTCAGTCCCCCCTGAGTCCTGGGGATCCCTTGGGCTACAGGCATAGAACCTTTCTCTGCTCCTCACCCATGGGAATGGAGTCATACATACCTTCTGGCTCCCCTTTGGGATGCCTCTTAGAGGACATGCGATCCCTCGGCCTAGTGCCTGACTTAAGGGCCTCTAAAGTTATCTGCCTTTGCAGTCAAATCTGGCCTCAATATCTGTGGTAGTTTGAATGTATTTGCCCCCCTCTCATAAGCTCATAGGGAGTGTCACTATTAGGAGGTGTGGCCTTGTTGGAGGAAGTGTGGTCTTGTTGGAGGAGGTTGGATGACACACTTTTAATCCAGACCTTGAGGCTGGAGGGAACATCTTTAACCTGGGCCACACCTTCTGTTGGAAGTGTGCCACTGTGGGGGCAGGCTTTAAGGTCCTTTTCTCAAGCTTCACTCAGTGTGACAGTCAGTTGATTTCCTGTTGCCTCTGAGTCAAAAATGTAGGACTCTCAGCTCCAGCACCACTTCTGCCTGCATGCTGCCATGCTCCCCTTCATTATCATAATGGACAACCTGTGAAACTGTAAGGGAGCCACCCTCAAACGTTTTCTTTATAAGAGTTGCCATGGTCATAGTGTGTCTTCATGGCAATATTAAACCCTAACTAAGTCAATATCCCTTAGATAATCACTCAAAAAGCTGCCCAGTGGCACCCTAGATCCCAGTATTATTCAGAACCTTTATAACTACTGCCAGCTATTTGGAAAATGGAAACAGATTCCCTATGTGCAATCTTTTTTTTAACCTTTGCTCCAAGCCTTCCTTCTATTCTCCCTATTCCCCCAACTGAGCTTTTAACTATGAAGTCTGAACAAGATGATTCCTACCCTACTCATGATCCCGCTAATGAGGCCCCCTCACCTTTACCAGCCTTGACCCATAGCTCCTTCTCTTCCTCCAGCTCCTTCGGTCTCCTCACTCTCCAGCAGTAGGCTATTCTAACCATCCCATCCAAGCACCTACTTTCACCCCACCAACAACTTGCAGTCCCCTGCTACTCACTCCCACTCCACTGTGGGACTCGCTCTACCTCTCCCAACCCGACCTAACCTGGCCCCCATTCTGCCTTTGCAGGAGGCTGCCAGGGTAGACACCCTGGTCAAGGTACATGTCCCTTTTCATTAAGTGAACTCTCAAATAGAAAATGAATTGGGGACTCCTAACTGCTCTACTTTCATTAAAGAATTCCAATATATCACCCAATCCTATAGTCTCACCTTCTACGACATATATATATATATCATATATATATATATGATTCTGACTAGCAACCTACTTCCCAAAGAGCACAGGCAAGTTTGGGGACAGGCTAGAGCACACACAAATGAAATCCATGAAATTAACACAGCACACCTGACCAGGGCTGAGATGATCCAAACTGGGATGCCCAATGGAACTACAATACCCTAGGTGTCATTCTAGCTAGAGATCAATTTACAACATGCCTCCTCTCCAGTCTCCATAAGGCTGGCCTCAAACCAATCCAGGACAAACAGGAAAACCCATCTCAATTCCTAGAATACCTTACAAAGGCCCTTTTAGAATATACCAATCTAGACCCTAAAAACCCAGTGGGTAAACAACTCCTCATGACCTATTTCTTTTTCCAGAGTTTCCCTGGCATTAGGGCCAAGCTTAAGCATCTGGAGAGAGGACCCCTAATCCCACAGGCAGAAGTCTTAAATGCGGGCCTTTAAGGTGTACCATGATAGAGATGAAAAAGTCCATAAACAGAAATACCAAATGCTGGCCAAGGCCAGTCAACCAGCTTCAGCGACTGCCCAGGCTCCCTTGCCTCCTAAGGCTCAAGGACCACGGGGTCCCTTCTTAAAGTGTGCTCAGGAAGGTTACTGGGCCCAGGCCTGCCCTAACCCTGCAGGCCACCCCAGCCATGTCCAAAGTGCCATCAAGAAGGACATTGATCTGTTGACTGCCCCCCCCATGTCCCTCAAGACATGGGAACATCAGACCCAGATGGCCATCCAACCAACATCTTAAACCTGGAGTCTGAAGGGGATCCCAGCTCCCTTGGCCTAACCAACCAATGTCATCTCTGACAGGGAGCCCTTGGTAGTCATTATGGTATCAAGGCAGTCCGTCCCCTTCCTCCTGGACACTGAGGACGCTTACTTGGTCCTGATAGAGATTGGAGAACCCACCTCTCCTCATTTCCCTATTGTCAGGGTAGGGGGACAGTCTTACAACCTCATCAGACCCCATCACTCAATTAATTGTATTTTCAGGGGCATTCCTTTCATTTCTTCCTGGTGGTGCCAACCTGTACCGTCCCCTTATTGGGAAGGGATCTTCTAGCCAGTGGAAGACTATTTCCTCCCCCCGCCCCATTTGCCTGATCCCAAGCTCACCAGTAGCCTCTCTCCTCCTCCTAGCCACCCAAACTACTGGTTCCAACATGTCATCTCCTTTGCCAGCCTCCTGGGTGAACACCCCAAGTCTAAGATATCCAAAACCCTCTGCTGCCAAACACCATTCCTCCATTGTTATCCAATTACAGGACCCTACCCAGTACACCCAAGCCCAGTACCCAGTCTCACTCTCCAGCACCTCAGGGAGCTTAAGCCTATCATCTCTGACCTCCTAAGAAAAAAATCAACTTCACCCCACATCGTCCTTTAGCACCCCTATCTTGCAGTTAAAAAGTCCAGTGGGGCCTGGTGCCTGGTTTGAGATCTCCATCTCTTTAATTCTTCAGTGGTCCCCCCTTCTACCCTTACACATTCCTTTCCACTACCCCTCAGGGACCTCCCATTTCTCAGTCCTGAACCTCAAGGATGCCTTCTTCTCTTCCCCTTGACACACAGTCACAAACCATCTTTGCTCTCACCTGGACTGACCCTGACACCCACCTCTACCCAACTTACCTGTACTGTCCTACTCCAGGGGTTCCAGGACAGCCCACACCTGTTTGGCCAGACCCTGGCCTCTGATCTACTCTCTGTCTCTCCCCAAGTCTAAACTTATACAATATGTAGAACACCTTCTCTCCTGTGGTCTGTCCCTATGAATTAGTCAAACTGACACCTCTGCTCTTCTAAATTTCTTGTCCAGCCAGTGCTATAGTCTCACCATTTATGGTCTAGCTGTCTACCCCTCAGGTCACCTACTTGGGCCTAACCACTACCCCAAACCATAAAGCCATTTCCTTGGATAGAAAACACCTAATCCAGTCCCTCAAGGTCCCCTCTACCAAAGAGATTTTAGCATTCCTAGGAATATCTGGCTTCTTAGAC